ATGCAAGATTCACTTATCACTGTCTTTCCATAGGATAGATAAGGGGAATTCAAAAAGTCTTTGGGAAAGAATTTCTAATAGCAAGATCAAGTTGAGAATGCAAAATGGTTGAAGACCTCATTGATTATATATGTTTTCATAATATAAATATTTCCTCAGTTTGCTGAAAAACCTCCTACTTTTCATACATTTTTGAGTGCCTAGTGCCTGCTTGAATGAACATTTTCAATTCATAAATTGTTTTAATAAAAACTTTGAGTAAAACCTTTTTTATTCAAAATTTAATGTTACAATAACTTTTTTATTCACTTGATAATCCACTTAATGAATAAATACTTTATCATTCATAAATAAAATCCTACAAAATCAATGAAAATTTGTCTGACAGACTGGAATGCACATTTTTTATCTATAAATTAATTAAACAAAAATTTGATCATTTTAAATAATAATCACTTTCTAATTTAGGAATCACAATATAATTTATATTAGTAACTCAAAGAAATAAGTAAAATTCTTAGTACCTGTTACAATATTAAAGTATCGAAGTTAATAAGTAAAATCTTCTATATTACCATGATGAATGTAATTTCTGTTTAAAGTTTCTATGAGTAAAACTTGACATATATTTCTATGCTTGTACCAGAATTCAATTGGAATTGGAAATAGAAAAATAATCACTAAAGTATGATATCAAAGTTTACTTCTGAATTATAAAATATTAAATGATAGAACTAATTTACTTTTATTGTAATCCTGAAGTTTGGTTGTTTTAGTTGAAGTTATGACTTCCTTGTTCTATTTTTGTTCTAGAACAAAATAGAGCTTGAATGATGAAATTTTATTTTCTCATAAGTAAGTGTATATCTTAAAATTATTGAACAATGAGGAACAGTTTAACTAGAAAATTAACTGTCATATTTGCCCTCTTCTCTGTTCAGTGTGTTCAAGTAAGATTAAATAAAACTATGTTTGTATATGTATAACATCAACTTTAAAATCAATTAATTAACAGAGATTAAACCAAACCCAAGGAGGATCATTGAGGGAAACATAATGACCATTAGCAACTTGGTGAAAGAAGATACAGCAGTGTACCAATGTAATGCTTCTAATGTTCATGGTTATGTTTTCAAGGACTTTTATTTAAACATACTTGGTAAGTTAGAGACTTAGTTGTTTGTAGAGTTTACACTTCTTAGTATTACAGTAATTTATTGATGAATTAGATTTAATTCATATTAAGAATTTGCATTAGGTGGTACTTCATTTTATCAGGTGTTCATATTCAACAACGAATTGAAACAACTTTCAGTGAAAAACAAATAAATGCTTCAGAACTTAAATGCTAGTCACTTAATAATTTATCAGAAATACCAGAATCTTTTAAAGTATTAAACATAATTAAAATTACTTAAGTTACTATTGACAATTTGTGAGTACAGCTAAATTCAAAATATTATAGTGAATCTTTTAAAGTATTAAACATAATTAAAATTACTTAAGTCACTATTGACAATTTGTGAGTACAGCTAAATTCAAAATATTATAGCAACAAATATCCTTATATCAGAGTTCTGAATCTGCAGATCATGATCTATTGGTGAACCACAGAACAAGACACTGTAAAACATAAACATATTTTTTACTTTAAAATTTTATATAAAATAATGATTTTAAAATGTTTTTGAAACAAAAACACAAGATATAAGAACACTTCCTTGTATTGAGAAAGCTTGAGATTTTAGGTATTGAGTTTTACCGAGTATGAAAAATCTATAGTAAAAATTAGGATAGTAAGTAACCAGAAAGGTTGATCACCAATGACTTGGTATTTAGATAAAACCTCAGGAGAGAGTAACTTAATAAATGTGATATGTATATTACTGTTGTTATGGAGATAAATAAAAGAGATATAGTTTGGTTTGTAGACAATGAAGTTTCTGCATTTCATTTTTTTTTTTTTTACAATTCAAATTAACTGCTAATGTTTGTTTTATTGTGGGTAGTGGTTGAAGGTATTGTAGTCAATGATTATATTTGAATTAAATATTTATTTTGTAATAATTTAAGCTATTTATTTTATTATTATTATTATTTTTTATTTGATGGTATACTAATTTTGCATGTAATATGCATCTAAATTTTAGAGAAATACCATTTGGGACACATTGTAACTTAAATAATATAAATTAATAAGAAATTATGTTTATGTTAAGCATCAATAGATGTTTATTAATTAGTGAATAATGATTTACAGAATGTTATTAATACAAATTCATAAAATGGAGCTGTGAATTGTGATATCTAACTCATTCTCACATGTTATATGCTGAATTAAAGAAAGTGATTAATGAAAGATAAAGATAAAAGAAAACATTTTTTTACTCACTTGCTACACAGTCAAATTTTATTTTATGTGCAGTAATGTGTTTCAACCTAAAAGTCACTGGCTGAGAATTTTCCAACATTCTTCGATAGGAAGCTGCTACTAATTAAAAGCTTGATCTTATTTATGAATAAATTTTTCTATTGTGCTTCTTTCAGTTTGTATAAATTTGTTTTATTTTAGAATTCAGGTCCTAAACCTTTGTCCCATCCTGTATGGTACATCAGGAAGATAAAAACTAGGACTAAACCTTAGTTATGGTATCAAAACATACATCAAACAGAAGTTTTTTACATGAAACCACAAGGATTATTATGTACTAAGATTAAACGTGTACTCTATATTACAAACAAGGACTTCACTATACTGAGTTTTCATATGACTGCTGTGTATCTTGCTACACAATCAAATTTTATTTTATATGCAGTAATGTTTTTCAACCTAATATCACTAGTTAATAGTACTTATAATACTAGCAGGAAGAATTGACTGACCAACCATAAAGATAAGTGCTATTATGTGTGTTATGAAAAATATACCTAAATGTTCTATGAATCTGATGTTCAAAACATAGCTTATCATTTGATAGAGGTGAATTATAAAAAAATAAATACTTAAGCTATATAGTTTTCATAATCATTCATTTATAAAACACCTCATTTATTTATATTTTAATAAGTTTTACGGTTATTAAGCATGTGTTTTTAACCTCTCAGCTATTCCTCCAATAATGAGAGAGTCACCTGCCAACATTACATATGCTGTTGTTGGCTCAACAACTACAATAAAATGTCTAGTTTATGGGGTTCCAAATCCCAAAGTGAATTGGAAAAAAAATGGTCAGGACCTTATTGGAAAAAATTTTCAGGTTAGTCAGCATTATTTGGACAGTAGTTTATTTATGTATTTGATTGGTTAAAAGAAAATTACTTGTATAACTTGTAAGATTGGTATTATGGTTACTGAGTGGTAAGGGTATTATCAGATTTACTAAAAATAATTGTCCTCCAAATAACTTTTCCCAAAATAAACTGCTTGTAGGAATAGTTTATAATGTTTCTTAAAGTTAACAGGATCAAAAACTCAAAAACAAGAACTTGCATTCTTTCTTTCACACACAAACAAACATTTGACTGGAGCACTACAAATCTAAAAAAGCTTATTTTTTGGAATTACAGAATAGAATACAGTTTTTATTGATTAACAATGAAAAAGAATTCAGTGGTTGCTTTTTTAGTGTGTATTTTGCTAGCCTTTTATCTGATGAGATAAACAAATTATTTAGTAACTTTTATTTTTTAATATAGACACAAATTGCATGGATATTTTCATACACTTTTTAATCTGTAATACATGAGGAGAAGGTGTTTCAACATTGTTTTTACACTTTGTCTTGTGATGTGAAGAAGTTTTCTATATGAACATCTTATTTTTTATATTATTAATAACTTTTAAGCAAAGTAAATGGTACTTTCATTCTACACAAGCGAGGTCAAACGTGAGACCTCTCACATGCCAAGCAAGTGCTCTACCAACTAACCTATCACTTAAACTAACACATTCTTCCTCTCTAACAAACATGGCCAGTCCTTAGTTCTTATCTAATATTCATATGGCCTTCCTAGCTGGGTAGATTTTTCTGTGTTAATCCAATTTTTACATCAAATTTGAGACCACTTCCATATGATTGCTCTGACAACAGAGTTAAAAAGTTCTAGCCATCATTAGTAAAACAGTTTTTCTTCAGTTATTCAAGCAACCACAAACTAACTAAACAGATAAGAGATCAAATGTGTTGAAAATAACACATATGCATTAATGAAGGCAATAGTTTATAAATCAGTACATCTGCAACAGGACAGGCAAATTAAAAGTGGGAGGGTCCAAGGTTTACTTGATCGAGTGAAGCGAGGGAATGTTTTCGCCACCGGTGCATCCATTACGTCTGGGGTCCAGGGCTCACCTTATGGCCATGGAAGCTCTTGGGTTCGGGATTAAATTTTATGCACTCTCCTGCTTTTCTTGAGTGTAATTTTCCCAATTTTGATGCATTTTTAATGGAATAGGTTTTAAAATGGGGAGATACACCCCCTGCTTCCAAAACACTGTCAAAACTGAAACCTTAAAGATGAAATTGTATTCTACCATTAATAGGGTACTCTTGCTGTTAATGGTATTTTGGGTTATAATTCCCATAATGCAGAACAATATTTGGAGAACTTAGGGGATTTGGGTTAGTCTTAAAATCACAAACTAAGCAATGTAAGCAGGTCATATGGGTGTAATTATAATTAAAAAGACTATGTAAGCATTATACCAAATACAATTCAATGAAACTAAACTATAAAGCACATAAAAACACCAATTATTTGATATTCATATCCACACAAATAATCAGTATACTAAACAAAGATATACTTATGTGGTATTTGATATTATCAACTTGAATGGAACCTTGTGTGACACGTGGGCTATGACCAGGTCACACATCCCAAGACCCAGGCATAGCCATCCCTAATTTAGAACTGCTAACCAGCAGGAGGGCAACCAGTCAGCAACACTTGTTGCACACATGGTCACACTAAACTGAAAAACAGGATTGACTAATATAAATATGATACCCTCACAGTTGTAAGTGTGGAGTATTCATTAGCATAAAATGGCTCAAACCTATGACCCTCTGATACACTGCCCAGAAATCTAACCACTAGATCAAGCTTGCCTCAAGTGAAATATATACATACTTATTCTTACGTTTTCAGTAGGTTATATTGAAGCTCACAAACTAGTAAATGGTGCAAACTTAACTAATACTCATAACACTGGGCAACTAAAAAAAAGTTTTTCTCTGCAACTAGAAAAAATTTATGTTTCTGCGTAATTTGACGATGCTGATTCTAAAAATCATGTTGAAAATTACTGATCACCTCTAGTTTTAGAGTTATGATAGATTTATTCAGACTATTCTTATGTATTGTGAAAGTAACTTTTTCTTTAATAACTTTAATTATTCATTGAAAATTGCATAAAAGAATATTCAAAAACAATACATAATACCAGTTTAAAAAAACACTGAGTATAATAAGATTATATACTGAAAATACATTCAAATATCTTCTTGACTTGTTGCACCTTTTATGTATGTTCTCAGCTTCATACTGTAAGAACCAACAGTAATCTCCCATCATTGCAGGATTCCGTCATTCTTAGTCTCGCCGTTCCATTGTAGAAATATCTTGGTGAAAGTGCTCACTATGCTCATTGCACCTAGATCATTTGGAAAGAAGTCTAAATGTGTCAGGCTGTTATAAGGCTACGATTCTTTACAATAGATGTCTGTGACTGTTGGCAATAAATTTCAACAATAAATGGACGGCACACAATCCACTTGTTTTAAAATAATATATTCAAACCAAGTGAAACTTATGTACAAAAATTCGTTTCACTATTAGTTATCACCGTTGTATCCAGAGCTTTAAATAATTCTCTCTTTTTCATCAGAATCCACACAGACAGGTTCAATTACTTTAGAAAACCTTTTGAAAAGACAAATTATTCTCCTCTACTCTATTATCACAATACAATCAGTGATAAATTCACTTACATTACCTGTGGGTTACTACATCTGCATCCAGAGTTTAAATAATTCTCTTTTACATCAAAAGTCCACACAGGTCAGTTCAGTTACTTTAGAACCCAATTGACAAGACAAATTATTCTTCTCTATGCTGTTATTACAACACAGTCTGCAATTATTACACTTTAAAAAGTCACCATTATACACACTTTATGGCTAAATGCACAATCACCTAGACTAACTTCACTTTTTTCAGTTTTACTTTCACTAACTTACTTGTACTAACTTGGTCCCCTATATACATATTGCCTGAGTGAAGCCTAGAAAATGTTTTACAAACTACGAGACTATGATGTAACAATACTCACTTTAAGCATTGAGAAAAATTCACAAGGTTCAAGTAACATGACGTCGATTCAGAACAACTGAACTACACAACAGATGATTTGTAAACAGTTATGTAAGCAAATTTGTCATAACTATTGCTTCTAAAAATAACTTACTTCAACATTCATATTATATACATTAAATAATACTCTTGTGTTAAAAATGAACAGTACATCTAACAAAATTGGAATTTAAGAAGTGCATCTTTAGTGACATCCTAGACCCCATTTTCCTGTGGTTCTTGAGCATATCATCACAGCATAATTTTCATCCCTGTGATTTCCTACGAAATTTTTAACAACCAGTTTGAATGAATTCCTGGTAGTAAGTTCTTTCTGTTTCAGTACTATTCAGTACATCCATCAGCACTTCTTGAATCAGTGGCCCAACAGAGATATCTTCTTTCATTTTTGCTTCACTGATTTTTGGAAACTTGTCAGACAGATATCTGAAACCATTACTCTCTTTGTTCATTCCTTTTACAAAGTTCTTCATGAGTTCCAGTTCAATATGTGGGGACAGAAACACATTTTGAAGATTCATTAAAGGTTGATAGTCAATATTCTGTTTCTCTGGTATGTAATTCTCTCTCATTGGCCATTTAAAATTTTTTTTTAATCATTTTGGCTGTTCCAGAGACACAAAAAGCCACAATGTTTGGTATACACACTTTGCAGGCCTAGCAAGAGTAAAATAACTTTTAGATCACCACATATATTCCACCTATGGTGATCCTATTTAATGGCCTCAAGTACCATCTGCTTGTTTTGATAAGTTTCTTTCATGTTCACAGCATGAACAACTGGAATCAATGGCTTAGTGTTTCCATTGTGCAAAAGTAATGCTTTCAGACTAACTCTAAATGAGTTGATAAAAAGTCTCCATTCTTGAGGATGATCTTAAGTACTTAATTCTTCTATTAGCACATCAACGTTTGTACAGATGCACAAATTATCTTTCATGCTGTATTGAGAAGCAAGACTATGATGGTGACTTCAGTAAATTGAAACTCTTGTTACAGGAGCTAGTGAGCTTCACTGCTGTAAATGAGAGCCAAAAAGTTCCCCATGCTGCTTTGATAGAGAGAAGTCACGAATCAGATCACTTAGTTCTTCTTGTGTGATCAGATGAGGCAGCTTATGTTGAGTTGCCACAGGAATAGAATTACTAGATAAAGAGGATGAAGGTGATTCACTGTCTTTTTCACAGGATAACTCTTATGTTTCCCAATTCACCTGTGGATGTGTCACTGGAAGACCATGTCCATGAGGTACTGTTTTTATTGCAGGTGCAATATCTGGATATTTAATATATTGTTTAGTTTTGCCGGAATATCCAGAAACATTAGTCATGTAAAAATAACAGTCTTTGGACTCACATCATATCATGGGAACTGCAAATAGTATACTTGCTCTCTTCTTATTAAGCCAATGTGTCAAGCCAGATGGGCAAACTGTACAACACATGTGGAGACCAGTGTTTTTAATGGTCCCCAATTTTACACCCATAATAGTGGTAGTAAACTAACTTTACCTTGTTGATGATGTTTTTCCTTTGTGAAACTGCAATATATTTTCCACAAATGTAGCAGAAATTGTTTGGGTGATTCTTGGACAATCGGACTTTAACTGGAGGCAGCCAGCATTTCAAATGATTTTCTAAAAAAAAATATAAACTAATTTATGCTAATAGAACTGTAGTTTAAAAGATTCTAAGAAACAAAGTTTCACAGAACTTGATGAAGAAAAAGGTCGGAGGAAGAAGATCGGACTTTTTTTTTCAACTGTGCGCTGAGTGAGGTGAAGTGACTAACTGAGTGAGAGGCAACTGAGAGAGAGAGGCATCTGACTCTAGCAAACTGAGCAGGTGAGGGTTTTATGATACCTCAGTAGAGCAATTGAGCATGGGAATGAAGCAAAAGTGGTGCAATTCACAACAATTATATTGAGAACAAATAGTATAACATGAACAATATATTTGGAACTTTACACCAATACAATACAGTTAGTGTTTGAAGTTATCAAAAATGCATGCCTTATACTCATTAAACTGTCCAAGTTAACTTAATTTTACAGCATAAATCTATTATACTGAGTTGATTGCATGGTATTTCATATAGTGCTGATGTAATATAGAGATATTACAATAAGTCAAAATCTAGAGGTGATAGACAAATCTGACTACATTTATGAAATCAGCACTATCAAATTACCCCAAATCACTTGAGTTTTATCCGGTAGCTAATTCTTTGTTGTCCAGTGTAATCATGTGCACATCAGCACAAAGATTTACATCCCATACCATAGTCCTTTACTTGAACAATTAACTTTTCTAGAAACCTTACTATATATGTAAAAAGCTCTAACTGACAGCAACAATAAACTTTCCAAACAAAAGGAAAGGAATGGTGAAGAGCATTTAAACCTTTAAAGGGGCATTCCTTAATTTAAAGAAAAATCAATTTGATCATAAAAAGAGTGTACTATGCTGGTTCAAACAAATTTAAAAAGTAGACTATTGAGAGCCATTAAAACTTTTATTTTCTCTTTGAAAATTTTTAAATGTTGTATTTTTATGTATTCATTGTTAGAAAACTATTAAAGGTTAATGAAAAAATTTAAACATTGAAGTTGCTTACTATTTATACTTTGAGTTAATTTATACTTTGAAATAAATAGCTATTTAAAAATTATGAACATTTCGAGCATTATTTTAAAAGAATACTATTTTGTTTAAAGAATGAAAATTTGTTTATTATAGTTGTTAGAAAATGGAAATCTTGAGTTGGTAAATATTTTAGAAGAAGATGAAGGTAACTACACTTGTCAGGCTGAAAACAAGTTTGGTTCATTAGAAGAGACAGGACAGTTAGAAGTCAAAGGTAGGGATTCTATAAATTTTCATAACTACTTTTATAGGTACACATTTTTTGTACAGAGTTGAGTACGCTATATTATAATGAATTTGAAAATGCAAATCAGCAAGCAATAGAACAACAACAGCCAATATAAAGTTATAGTGTGATGACATGTATTAGAACTACATTTTCACATTGTTTGGCATTTCACAGATAGTGTAATGTCACTAAAAATTGATCACTTTTGGGAAGACTTTCAAACAGCCCTTTCTGACTAAAAATATTCATACACTCAGATCATATATATATGTTCAGATTGGAGGTTTAAAATTTCTTAGATTGGAATATCTCTTGTGGTTAATTACGTTGGAAAACAAAGGAATATGGACCATTTAAAGGCACCAGGACAATCCAGAAAATGTCCTGTAACAAATCATTCTTCAACTGTGGTAAGCAAAGTGTGGTGTCTTGTAACAAATGAGAATCCACAAACACAAAGGACGGTAGCAATAGCCACCCATATGTCTCGGTCAACAATATGCCACATAATCAAGAAGGATCTCTGTATAGAAGAGGCACATAAGTCACATGTACACAAGCTGCTTCTGCAACATATTTGAAGCAGCTGGACAATGAAACAGATATTCATGCTATTCCATACAAAGATATACTGCCAAGTTGTATAAACATCACTTACAGATATCTATGCAATTAAATTTTTGAAATGGGTGCTGGAAAACTGTCACCTCATACACTAGATGGACTATGGAAAGCTGCAAGGAAGAGGAGGTGTGTTTTGAACATGAAAGCCTTATGAATGAGCCTTTTCTTATTGGAAACTACAATTCAGGGCTATTGGCAAGATGCATAGTCTTCAGAAAAAGGATGATTGGATGTAGCTACATGGACTTTAATGACATGGTGAGGCTTAAAAATCAGTAATGTATAAGGTAATAGAAAATTTACAATCAGCAATTTTGTAATGAATTTACTATTGTATTAGCATAATGCACTTCTGTACATAAGTAATATACTCAACCTTCTGTATAATCATATTACTTAAGAATAGTTTTCACAGAAACCAAAAAATTATTACTTAAGTTAGGATTGTTCTCAGAAAAATTTGACTCCTACTTGGAATGGTATCCTGGCACTTTTTTGAAAATGAATAAAATTCTTTTTACAGCAGCCTATATTCACATTTGACCACACACGTGTGAAAATATATCAAAGAACGTTGCCAACATGGTGATGTCTCATTCTTGAATGTTATGAAAGCAAATGCACACTGTCTGAGCATAAAACAGAATAAAACATTGCATTTTTTTGTCAGTTTACTGTGTATGTGCAACATTTTGCATAGATGTGATTCAACTTACATTCCAATAAACACCAGATATGAAAAGAGCAAATAAATATAGTCTTATTCTTTTAATTGAACTAATACACAAACCACTGGTGAAACAATGGCAAATCTGTACAGTGTATACTTGCTCTTTTTTTCTGCTCTGCTCATGAAGTGCTTCAGGTTATTATCATTTATACTCTTGTAATACACACCTATAGCAAAGTATGATCAGCTGATTTATTTTGTGATAATAACAGTGGACAAATATTGAAAACTGTCTTTTGAATAGAAACTATAGTTTTTCAATGTCATTAGTTTTTAAACATTAATTTTAGTTTCTAGTTTGTTAACTTCTTATTTTGAATTTCCATTTTGGCCATTATATTTGTAGTTTTGGTGTTGAAATGATACAGTACATTCTGGCAAATCTTATTTTTTAGTAGTTTCTTTTATTCTGCTGTTCTGGCATTCTCACCTGAAAAGGTTATTTGCTTTGACATTGGCCTTTGCTGTATCTTTCTGACGATTTAATAGCTCATGATTATTATTATGTTTAGTTTTGTACTTATAATATATTTTCATGATTGCAATCTAATGATGTTTTATTTATATTTGTAAACTATTTTAGACAAAACCAAGATCATACAACCACCAGAAAACCTTGAGGTTCCTATTGGCCAGTCAGCCACATTTCACTGTAAAGCCGAAGTAGATCCTACATTGAGCATGACAGTCAAATGGTTCTTTAATGGGGAACCTATTGATTACCATCAGGATCCACGAGTGAAACAGTTAGAGAGCCAGTCACTATTTATCAATACAGTTAAGGTCAGTGACTCTGGAATCTACACATGCTACACTGAAACAGCCATAGATAAGGATTCAGCATGGGCAAGTTTAATTGTTCAGAGTAAGTCTCCAAGTTATTGTATGTTATTCAGTTTAAAAATGCAGAGTTCATAGTTTGTTTATTAACGTTTGTGCTAAAATATGAAATAAAAAAAAGACAAATGTGTAAAATTCTACAATTTAATATAATTAAGTGAAATAGTATAACATACAGCTATAATGTTAATAACTTGTGATGATAATTAGTAAAAATTATGTATGTAACATAAAATTCCAATCTTGTTCAGAATGGCACATTCTTTTGAAATAGTATTAAATGTTATTTTCTGCATTAACTTGTATTTATTAAAAACTTTTAATTTATTGATATTCCATACATGTATTACTTTGCATAAAAGTGTTACAAGTTTTTGCTGCTATTACCTAAACCAATAGGTAATAAGAATTGCAATGACAAATGAAAATATATTAAGATAGATAACAGAATAAATGAGGTTAAACTGAAAAGGATCACAAAAATACAACAAAATATAAGCCAAAATAATCACAGTGAACTAAAGTAAAATTGTAAATTTAAATTTATTATAAATTCCTCCATAACTAAAGATAGAGTTATTCCCTTTTTGATATAACATGCACTTTCTGGTGAGAAATATTGATGGAGCAATAAACATATTTAAAATATACGCTGCCTAGATGTTTGGAGTGATTTTTATCCATTGGCGAGTCTTGTGATATGTTGAAGATATATCCTACTTCTATTACTTTTGGGACAACCAGATGTGAGTAACATGTGCTGTGGGAGAGATGACAGTACTATAGTTTGTAAATAATTATTATATCCTCTAAGACTAGAGAAGTCTATCATAATATAGTTTTGAGAACAAGACAGAAAATTCAATACTCTCATTCTATGACCAGAAGATGCTATCAATCATAAAGAACTCTCACCTACTTTGGTTGATTTCATTTGTTGAACAAAAAGTATCTTATGCTTTGTTTATTTACATTATATCCAGTTCCTTTCTTTCTTCAACTCAGTCAAATTCAGAGATTCAGATTTACTCTCTGATACCTTTTCTACGAACAATAGTTATTGTAACTAAGAATACCATACAGTTTAAAATCACAAAATGGATACATATAACACTAGAAGATTGTCAAGGTCCTCTTCTTATTTTTGCTGTTTGTCTAACATCATCCAGTCCATCCATAAACAGACTTTGCACAACCCACTGTGGTTCATGATAACTGTTGCTGCAATTGCATTGATAACTGCATGGTATCCATAATCTGACCATTCAGTGAAAAGACATCCTTTCACTGTTGATAAGGTAAATTGTTGGTGTTTCTGACTCAGATAGTATTGTAGAAAGAAGATGTATTCTTGTAACATACCTTTTTGAATTTTGAATTTCATCAGTCATGTCAGTGATGTATAGTCACTCAAATAATGAGATTCCTACAGTACAAGCAGTGGTGGTAATGGTAATGTCTGACAGACAATATGCTTCAAGCAGTTCTTCTTTTGTCACACATCATCAGTGTTTAAGAGCTGTTAATTAATGACTTGCATCTAGGGTTTTTCCTTATCATCTTCAAACTTCATAGCCCCAAAAATTGATCAAGAATGTGGATTTAGCACTTCTCATGACTGGCAAGAGCCCTTGATTCTGGAGGGAGCCTCTGTTAGTCCTTCTCACATTCTCAGATCATGTCCTCACTTCTGCTGCAGCTTCTTCCTTTCTATACTGTAAGTTATAAGTGGACATAAAAAGTAATCTTCCAAAATTATGGTTTACAAATTCAACAACAGAGAGTTAAAGAGGCCAAAAAAGAATGTTTAAAATAAATTCAGCAAAAATTAATACCTGATTATGTCACCAAAATTTTAACTTGATCGCTTAATCTGTGATATTCACAGGCAAAACTGGAACCAGTGAGTATTTGATAATATAAACAAAGCTAGTAAATAGGATTTCTAACAACTGGTTTGAGCACACTGTAGCTACACTATATAGTGAATGTAGTTGTTCATTTATTTTAACACAGAGAAATATTTTTTAAAATTAGGTGTTCCTGAACCTCCAATAATAATAGATGTTCAGTGTGAAATCCATGTAGCTGACATCCAGTGGGAGCCAATGGGAGATGGTCATGCAGTAATCCTAGGATATAACATTCAATACAATACTAGTTTTAATCCTGATATATGGAAGGATTCTTTTGTCAACATACCTGCTTCAGACACTCGCTTCAAGGTAGGTTACATTGTTAATGTTTACCATTGAACATACTTATTGTACTGTCTCACTGAAGTAAAAAAAACATAAAACATTTTGTGTAATGCAGATATTTAAAATATAGAATTTTGGTATATTCTTTTTTTCAAATAATTATGATGTTTCAACTAATCATTATATGCAGCTGTAATAGGCTATCTAAACTTTACATCAGAAGCATTGCAACTAAGGTAAATTTATTTTGTAATGTTACATCTTCATTTTTGGATTTTCAGGTAGCCATGTCACCATGGACTGACTACACTTTTAGAGTAATTGCATTCAACAAGATTGGTTCCAGTGAGCCAAGTGAATATTCCAAACAGTGTTCCACTCCATCAGATGTTCCAGATAAACATCCAGACCAGGTGAAAGGTGAAGGAACCAAACCAGACAATCTTGTAATATCATGGAAGGTATGTTATCAGGAACTATTTTGTGTGTACAAGGAAAAAACAAAATTTCTTTCTAAAGATAAAAAAAATCTGAAACTTGAAAAGTCATGAAAGGCATCTTTGGAATGAAGAAATAATGAGCAATAATAAATGGTTTAATATAGATTAAAAAGGATAAGAAGTTAGAAACACTTAAAAAATGAGTGATTTTAATAAAAGGGTGATAATTTAACAACAGGAGTACAACAAGAATTTTTTTACAAGAGAGCTTACTTTCGATCCATCAGTTTCTAATGATATTTTATAGTTGATAAATGTCTTTTGTGTATATCTCCAAATCTTTCCCTTCCTCTTGCACCCAAGAAGCCTTATAAATGATAAAAATCTTCAAATAAGAAAATTTTTAAATGGTTTAATGATATATAAAAATACCAAACAATTGGTTGTTCATAAAATTTTATAATTAAACAAATAAATTGTTGAATGAGATTTCCAAAACTGTAAGAGAAATGTATGGGATTGTTTTAATAAAAATTATAATTTAGGAATAAATATTATTTAGAGACTTTACCAAAACTGATAGTATAACATTAAGAAATAGTAAATTGTTTTACAAAAAGATAGTTATTTTTTTAACAAAAAGGAAATACAGAGACAATTTTACTAAGAATACTAATTTAAAATACTAAAATAAAATAAAAATCACAATGTGGTAATAGTATTGTAATCAATAATATATTTTGAATATGAAATCATTTTCTTTCAGTATATTTCATGCTAGTTTCTCAGGACATTTGGGAAAGTTACAAACAAAATAACATTTATTGTTTATAAACTTGTCCTTTTTCTCTCTCCATAACCTAAAATCAGAAATTTCAATCAGTGAAGATCAAAACCATTACTTTTAAGTAAATACAAATATTGCATTTTGATTCACATATATTAAATTTACAACTTGCTTTATAAAAACCTTCTTAATTCATCAGCCCATGCCAAGAATTGAGCACAATGCTCCAGGGTTTTATTATAAAGTCTACTGGCAAAGAGATGACCTACCAGATGCTCAAAAAACGATAAAGTTTGTGAAAGACTGGAAGCAAGGAAGCTTAGTAGTGGATCAACAACCAACTTTTAGGCCTTACCGAATAAAAGTTGAAGCATACAACAGCAAAGGTCGTGCTAAAATAACAGCTCCAGAGGTGCTTGGATATTCTGGGGAAGATGGTATGCTCAATTGGTTTGATCCAGTAAATTAAAAGTTTATTTTACAACTTAGCTTCTTGTAAGATCTTTGGTTACAATGAGTAAGATCACCATAACCAGCTGTCATTTTTTTCATGCCAAAATTGGTCTTTGGAATAAACAGAAAATGATGTTTACAGCTTTAGTGCCATCAAAATAATATAATAATAGTTGGTAATTTAATAAAAGTTAGTTGCATAAGTGCTAAATTAGAGTATGTCAGTTTACCTTTAGTGCAATTGTGAAAAAACAGTCCCAGTAATATGAAACAAATAAGATGCTGAAATATGTATGTTAGTTTATAAAAAAAAGAAAAAGATAACATTTTCATTTCCAACTGGTTTTGTGATATGTAGGTATATAGTATGTTTTCCACCTGCATAAGGTGATATATGCAATTTTTTAAATATTTTGTTTATTTCATGACTATGCAGTTTTAGCATAAACATCTGATCCAGAAAGTCGATGAGATTGTCTAATTCTAGTTGCTTTGTTTCTTCACCATCTATGGTTAATAATGTCTATTCTGCCCAGTAGGACATTGCAGTAACATATAGGGTCTGAGTTGAAAGGATTAGCATGTAATATCCTTTGCCGACCAATTTGACATTGTCTAAATGTAACAGCTGAACAATGCTGTGAGAGAAATAAGAAACTAAACTTACCTGTTGAAATCAGGCATTCTTTCTTAGTTCATTTCTACTTGAAATTCTAGTAAAGATTGTTGAGTAAAGTCTTACTTCAAGATCATGGTTTTAGTTCAATGGAGGTAGATCTTGAAAGAAAACTATGGAGCTAAACACACTTCAGCAGATATTACTGTGGTTCTGTTTCCACAAGTACATATGCTGTATTTTTTGTCAAATAGTAAAGATTGTTTTCATTTTCACCAAGAGTGTAAAGTCTTATAATTCCATACTTGAAGAAACTCAGTCAAGTTATCAAACACAGAATACTCCCTTTATTTCTTTATTGAATCTGCTTTTATTAGCAGGTTTACCTCTCTGGTACTTTTGGGAAATTTGTTTAATTTGTTAAAATAACATAAGTAAATAAGAAGAAGAAATTTTGATACCATGTATCAGGATTTATTGTAGGATTTCTGAAGTGATAATGTAAATACTAACTCTTGCTTAATCACTTAAGTTTAAAAGAAAGCTTCTTATGAAAAGAATTGTGTTTTTTTGGATATAGAAGTACTCGTGACTGAGAGAGGAAGTTTACTAGTGGGGAGAGATGTCAAGTTTAGGACATAGGATTTTCACTGTTTTTATAAAGGTCTATAACATTTGTTAGTCTGCAGCTGCTAACATAGGAAGATTTCCTTGTGTCTGTTGCACTTGAGGCTACTTGAGCAGATGCTACCCCTAAGAATCATTCTCTGTATAAGAAATATGCAGATGACTGAGGTTGACTAGAATGGATTAGCATCTGGAAAGTGTAAGACTGCATGGAGAGGTCTCTACCAAACTCCTACGTTATTGTCAGTCAGAATACAGCAGTTCCAGCTCTATTCAAAACCACTGTTGACTAGTAGACAGAGGCTGGACATACTTCTGATGGATGAATTCTGCTATTCAGAGTTGTTTCCTCCGCATATGAGGCAATGTGGACTAATGGGGAAGACCGTGACCTATAGAGTGAGGCATCTTTCAGGACTGAAAGGTTCCCTACGATGTTGGTTGCAGCTTTAAACCCCTGGGGTCATGCAGGACTGTACAATGAGCCATTTTGAGTAGCTAATCACCCTGTACCATGGACCAACTATCTGTTCTGATGTCAGCTTCCCTGTGAGTAGCTTCCACCCAGGACCATGGACATTGGTAGCATCTCTTCCTGGTATTTGTTGGGATTATGAGAGAGAGAGGTGGGGCTTTGACCTGGCATAAAGGTCCCTGTGAGAAAAGACAAGCAGATAATGTATCTGATATTCAAGGGGACAGCAAGCGAGAACGTAGACCATTTTCTAAAATGATTGAGGCAGGTTACTCCTGAAATAGATGGATGGACTAAAGAACAGGCTATGCAACCCCTGGTCTTGAGCTTAGATGGTCCAGCCCTCATTGATGTAGAACACCTGAATGAGGAGCAGAAGGATGAATGGAAGAATGAGGGTGAATTCAAGGTTTCAAAAAAGATTAGCTCTGAGAAACTGGCTGCATAGACCAGAATCTATAACAAGTGCAAAGGAAAGTATACTCAGCAACGACATCTATAGATGGGGAAGATATGTTAGTTGATAAGTTCACCGAAGCACTTTACCAGTGAGCTTATGTGACAGCACCTGGGAGTGAAGGACATCTTCATGCAACACACTCTTGAGTAGTCACTTCAAACCAGCTGTCAGAGAGGAAGAAACCTACAGTGCAGCTGTAATGGCAATCATACTCATCTGCAGTATATGGACAGTGCAATGTTGGTCTAACCACAGAATATATGCTGCAACAAGTTATGTTCATGGGACATGTACTTTAACAAAGTATGGAGTATGTGCCTTCACAAGGGTGCATGCCACTGTCAGGTCCTCCTGACATACACAACCACAACTGATACCTCTGTCTAGACATCATCCAGGATGGGAAAAGCAAAATGTCTGCTCCACTTGTGGACTAATGGGGCAATAGTTAAGGAACTACCCATACTGTGCCATGCAGCAAAGATGGTAGAGCTATTAATTCCAGCTAATGACTCAGCAGATGCCAGCCATCCCACAACATCAATACTTTTCTAAGCAGCAAAGTAGGCAAGGACATAAATAGTCGCCATTGGATCAGCAGGTCTAGAATGACCAGCAAATGCTCTAGAAAACTGAAGGAGTCCAATTAGGGCTTGACCAAAATATACCAAGGAACACCACCCATGTACATGGAAATACTATAATTCTCTTTGCTGCATACACTCATGCAGTACACTGTACCTGGACTCGATGTGGGTGGCATTGGATGACTTTCCCATAGAACATCAGCTCACCCATTGTACAGGTAAAACTGATAAACAAACTCGAGAGTACATCCATCCTGAGGCTGCAATTTCAGATCTGATATCAGATACAACTACTTTCATTCTATCGGTGACATCTCCTAGAGTGAGCTAGAAATCAAATTCTCTTCTAATGTCTCATGTCTCGTCTCCACATTTGCCTGGAAAAAAAAAGTTGATATTCACTGGTCATAGTGGTGGTCTTATTCAGAGGGCTTGAAAGATTGTGATGTTTACTGGGTCCTTGCCATTGCCGTGTCTACAAGGAACTCAAACTTTGTATCATTATGAGCACATACCAAGCGCTACTTAGTCCTGATAGAGCTGGACTGACCATTAATCTCTTTGGTACAAGCTGTCAGCTGTGCCCTCTCAAGCCAGTGGCCTTTAAATTATTTCTTACCATAGAGTTCTAGGGACAATAGCTGCATCACTATTGCATCACACCATATTGTGCGTTGATAACAATGGTACAGCACAAATTCTTGTACTTGTTACTGCTCATTTAGGTGCTATAGGTTACATGCATCCATGCTACACTCCTTTACTAGTGCAAGTTTGGTTTGATCTTACTGAATAGCAAGGAGCACCTAAGCTAGCTCAGGATTCAATAGCTGCTTGTCCTGGGGCTCTCAAAGTGTTAACTTTGGTATTCATCTGTAGTTACAAGGCATACTGAGACTTCATCCCTTATTGGACAGATCACTGCCCATGCTAATTCTGTATGCTTTCTGAACAAGATAAAGTTTCATGTGTGGGTTCTAAGACCACATTATATGGCAACAATGTACAATACTTTTTTTGCACAACACAATAACTGGATGGCACCAATGTGTAACCCACATTTGTGCTAACATTCAATGATGATTTTCTTCTATCCACAAGTGAGTTGTGATGTTCAACACTGGTGGGAATGCTGTATGGTGTGTGAGCCCAGTGAAAATGTCAAGACAGAGTAAACTCTATTAGAGAATTGTTGGGCCTCTTTTGCAGAAGATAGCTCTGAATGCTGCTTGTCCACTCCCAGACTGAAAGAGGTCATTGCTAAATACTCATTATTGACTACTTCATGAAGTAAGCTGAAGCTTATAGCTTAGTTGATACTGTAGAACAGACCATTATCGATGTGATAGTCATGAACTGGGTGGTATTATTTGGAGTACCATAAGATATTCATACTGACCTGTGCTAATTTTAACAGCTATCTGTTCACTAAGTTGTGTAAAGTGTTAGATGCCTTATCATCTCTGTCTGATCATTGGGCAGAATTCATAATAAAAACCACCAAGCAGATGCTTTTGAAGTTTGTTAACTCCAACTGAACCAACTGGAATGAACACTTGCCATATGTGATGATGACATGCAGAGCAATAAAACAGTGATGTACAGACTGTCAACTAAACCTACTCATGTTTGGACAAGATGTGTTACTCTCTGTGGGTGTGAATGTATGGTTCTCCACCACGAGAAGACACCATTGTTCACAAGAATGTATAGAGTGGCTGAGATTGATAATGGTCAACACACAAATTCACCCAATAAAAGGCCGAAAATGCAGCATGGTACTATCGGATGGTGAAAGAACAGATGTTCTAATGTAGGAACATAGTATGGTTGTTGTTTGTATGCAAGCTGCATGAAAGCAGTTGGATCTGGCTGGTTTATTTCACACCTGATACTCTGAGAAATTGGTCCTCTGTTGTATTATTTATTGCAAGTGTGCAAAAGCATGGAACTCATCTCTAAACTGCATAAGTATGTCACAGATGAGCCTTTAGTGCATTGGCTTGGCCAGGAGTATTGAGAACAAATCAGTGAGTCAGCAGAGGATGAGGACTTTGTCTCGCATCATCCCAACTTGACTGATGAAGTTGAGGAAGTTGCAGAGAATTATCTAGTGGGCTTTGACAAACCAGATAAGGAGTTACTGGAAATGGAAGCGACTATCAGTTATGACCATTGGAACAAAATGCTAACATTGGCCTCCAAAGCAAATTGGGTGAGATTGATTATCGGCTTGCCTCATATAAAGGAACAGAAATGAAGTTTGGTTATCTATCTAATTTCAAACATTTAAATGAGACTGAAATTTTTGCTGCAGCTAAAAGATTTGGAGACATATACTGTATACACATATCTAGAATGCTCTTTTCTTGATGAAATGGTACAGTTTGTGAAATTTTTTGATTGTGAAACACCTTCTGCCCAACAATGCATCAGAGCAATAAAAAAAAAACTCTAATCTGTTTTCCTAATGTTGTTGTGGCATTAAGGATATACTTGTGCCTACCTGCCTAAAATGGCTAGAATAAAAAATTAATTGCATGCTTTGATGTTAAATGAATGCTTAAATGGCCATTAGAAAGGACATAGCTTAGGCAAATAGCTTATGAAGCTGTAATTAGAAGTTTTGCTTCTGCCAAAGCAACGAAGAAATGATTTTAGGGTAATGTTTTGGCATGCTTCTATAATGTTGTACAATAACTATATTGTTTTTTTATGTACCTTACAAGTAAATAATTATTATTATAATCATTTAATTTTAATATATCACCTTAAAAGTTAGGTGTATCATATTCTAATTTACTTTGAATAATTAGCTCATATTCTGTAATTAACTTACTACGTATTAATTATAATTAACTTCAAATTTGCTTGTACCCTATTCAAGGGGCCTCAAAAACATAAGTGCGCCAGGGCCTCAAACTACCTTAATGCAGGCTTGATGAAGATATTTGGTAGTTTAAAGTCATGAAACTGGTGTGGTTTGTTCTGATGAAAATGTTTTTTTGTAACTTGGTTAAAAGTGTATTTTTCTGATGTATTTTTATATTAGTTTAGAAAGGGGAAATTAGTGAATTTTGTTTTGATTAATTTTTAAGTTATTTGATAATTGTGAAGCTTGTGTAGTTTTTCTGAAAGTGTTTATTACTTTAAAGTACTGAAAATGGTAGAATTTTTTCTAATGTGGATGTTTGTTGGTCTCAAATTTTGCACACTGTGCAGTTTGTTCTTTTAAAAAATGTAGTGTTGATATTTGTATTTCTTGTTATTATAAACATTCTTGTTGGTATGAAGCTGGTGCATTTTGTTGTATGGATATGTATGTTATTTAAAGTTTTGAAATTGGTTGAGTACTTTTTATTTGCATTACATTACAATTTATTTTTCTTTACTTCACAAGAAATATTCTTTATTTTAAAATTGTGTACTTGATAGGTATGTTTTAATAAGTATTCTTAGTAATTGGTAGTTAAAGGCTTACAATCACTTTCTTCTTATGTTCTTATTAAATTATTGACTTTTACTTAAGTTATTTTAAATATTATATTGACACCATTATTTTGAAATATCTTTATGTTATTACTGTTATCTAACTACTTAATTTTCATTGCTTACTTGCTATCTACCTGGCTAATTATTCTTCAGCTGCTAAATCTTCTTCCAGTTTTGCTGTTTAATTCAAGAGTAGAGATGAAAGCATGTTTTTGTGCAGTAATTATAAAGAAGAAATATTTAGCAAAGTATTGAATTTATCACACATCTTAGAAGCAAAACTATTAATCTTGAAGTTAATAGTAACATTAGTTTTGTATAAATAGATAATGGAATATACCTTTTTAGTTCCACTTGAAGCTCCACAAAACTTTCGATTGATAAGATTGATCAGTGCAACAACAGCAAAGTTTGGTTGGGATGCAGTACCTTCTTCCTCTTTAAGAGGACACTTCATGGGGTATAAGGTGAGAAAGTAAAAAGTTATTTGAATATTTTTCTTCAAGTTAAACTAATTGGCATGGGAATTAATTTTTTTTTTGTAAACAGAAAGAAAAGATATATTTACAAATGTAATTCATGCAGAAGTCTTTGTAGTACCTTAGGTTTCCCTGCAGATTAGTTGATTCATTATATTAATAGTTGTAATTCTTTTTAATAATTCAGCTATATAAAATATAATTTTTAGCCATTTAGAAATGGGCTGAGTTTGGCTATGGATTTGTGGATCGACCAGTGATATATTTTGTATATTTTTATGGACAAAAGACCTGGTTGCCATTGTGTATTACAAAGTTTTGCCAATAACAGATACTTATTTAGCTTGTGAGCATGTTCTCACAACTACCATAATTAATTTTTCAACAATTACTCAAATATTGTAACTTTTTATTCCCTTTTTTAAGAAAAATGAATACTTCTTAATCCATTTGCAGGTAGGTAACCAATACACACAACAAAATTTATATAATGAACAGATATTAAAATTTGCTTTAGACTGTTAATATGATGTGTGTTTAACCTGTCCATTTTAGACTTATATTTTAGTTAGTATTGTGATAGTAGTTTAATCTCTACATGGTCACTTTATCTTCTATCTTTATATGTTATACATAAAGCCAACTTTAAAGTATAGCCTTAACAATTACTAATAAATTGTATAACATACAAACTTAGAAGTTTTGATATAACATTTGAAAGAGAAATGTTTTCTAAAATGTGACATTTTTATCATGGGAAACTGTTAAAATCTACTTGAACATCTCAAGTGTTTGTCAAAAAGTAAAAGTCTTAAATCTTAAAATGAAACATTAAAAGAAATAAACCCAAACTTTTATTTTCTGCTATCTCATCTTCTGTTTGATGTTTTCTTGTTGCAGATTCGAATCAGGACTTCAGAAGACCATCCTGATCACTGGAGGGAACAGTTGTTTCCTGAAAATAACACTCAGGAGATTGTTAATATTTTAAAACCATTTTCAAAGAATGTTGCTGAAGTTGTTGCAGTTAATGGAAAATATTCAGGACCACCTTCACACAAAGTTTCTTTCATCACACCGGAAGGAGGTAAACACAGAAATACAAAGATTTTTAGACATATGAGAATAATAATGATAAAGAAAGGTCAGTTCTTTAAAAATATTTGAGCCAAAGTTTTTTAGTGTTTGTGAAACTTCTTATTTACTTTTTTGCTTTAAATAATTCAAATTCACATATGCACTTACATCTGAAAATAGTTTTAATTAACACGTTTTTCCAAGGGTTCTTTTAGAACTAAAGGGTGACTCATAAACTTTGTAAAGATGAAAAGTTTTTTTAGTACACAAGTTTTAATTGTTCACAGTTTTTGTACATTTCCTGAATGAAATATAGTCAAGGATTAAGTTTTAACTTGATTTATTATAAACACATAGTATAATGCAGAACAGTTATGATTTTAACTCAGACCCATTCTAAGTGAGTTTTAAGAAACACTAAACACAAAGTATCTACACCTATATCATATACCAATGTGGTATTTTCAGTTAAAACTTATTTCTCCTATGTGTAACAAGACAAGAGAAACAGACATAATCAGAAGCCTTTTAACATTAATTAGTATGAAAATACATTATATGAGTATAAATAAAACTGAATGATGAACACACAAAAAGAATATAATACTTACACAATTAGAAACAATATGCATTACTTACATCATAGTGCAATCTACACTCAGGGGGGGAACCAAAGGTAGGAATTCTCTCACCTTACCTCAGACCAGATACAAGATTTTCCAGCACTTCTGTAGATCATCTGCTCATGGTGGCGGTATGACATTGATTTTATTGGCATTTGCCAGGGCCTTCAAAGTCTGCTTCAACTTCACATAAAGTCATTGTACTTCTAACTAAGGTGGGACTTCATAAGTTGATCTTCTTCTTGGTCATACAAGGCCCTGTCCTTTATACAATTGGTGGCTTGCTCAAGTCAGTGTAGGTTACATCCTGTAAATATGTCTAGTGATAGTCATAGGTGAGATGGTGAAGGGCTCTAATCTCTGCTTCACCTAAGGTAAACTGTGAGGGTTGCTTTTGTGGTGGTGGTCTGAATGTTGTTGATGTAGAGACACTCACATTCACTTGCAAGACCCTTGTTGTAGTAGTCGCCAGTTGTTGATCCCTCAGTTTCTGCTCAGGTAGACAAGTCCAGTGCTTGATTGACTCTCAGGAAAACCTTACTTCTGAGAATGTCTTATTTCGGTAATGAAATATAGTTGTAAGTGCACATTTGATGTACATGACACTTGGCGGTAGCACATCTTTTGATTTGAAATCTTATTGACTGGAGCTGATGTCTGATTGGTAGCTATATTGTCTCCTCCTTCACTTGAACTGGTGTCTTTTGAGGAATAACAATTTGAGGCTGAGCCACATGAAGGCTGGGCTTCAATGGCATAGGGTCTGCTGTAGCCTCATCATGGCAGGCTGCATAGAAGGTGAAAGAGGCTTTTCTGCTCTGTAAGGCTTAAGAACCAGTTCATTGATGGATTTGACAAGACCCTAGGCACCTAATGCATCACCCAGCACTGCATCTTCATCCATTGGAATGGCCATTGAGTCCAGGTATTCTTCATTACTAAATAGGAAGTCCTGGACACAGAGGTCTTCATAACTCTTTTCCATTCTACAGTGGCTTAGGTTAACTGATATGGTTTAGTTAAATGTAATAGCAACATAACTGATTAGTCAGAAGGGTTAAGAATTTGATTTTAAATAGCAAATGTCAGGATTGAAAATGTTTGTGTCACTGACATGTTTCAAGGCCACATCCAGTTTCCACATTGATAGATCCTTTCTTTCACTGTTTTATCACACCTTTTCTGTTATATGGTGGCCTTTCCAAGCTGTTGTTGTGCATACTTGTGCACATCTACCTATACAGACTATACATCACATCTACAGGGAGCAGGACTTCCTGTTCAAACATGATATTTGATGAACAAACTGTTGATCTCTGTTCAGTTGCTCAGTGTGTTATCATTATATATGACAAGCATTCACCTCAGTTGGCTTTATGAAGATTAAAAAAGTTGGCAAACATATGTTTAGAGTGGGGTGATAAGGTGAAAACACATCTTTATCATACTCAGCAACTCTTTATACAACTCAGAGACTGTTGGACTTAGCTCCCTGATCCATGTGTATCTCTCAGGTACTCCAAATCATGCTCTCCGATGGGCTAAGGCTTTTATTTATTAGTTGAGATATCAGCACACTTGTGAAGTAGTCAGTAGTCATAAGTATGTATGCATAACCTCAATCTGTCTTCAGGACTGGATCAGCAATATCTAGGGTTGTTCTCTGTAAAGCAGAAACAATTCCATGTTGGAGTTTATCCTGTTTTGATTGACTTTTTTCTGGATGTCATACATTGTACAGTGTTGACACCAATGCTGAACAAATTGACTTGAATTTGGCCAGAAGAACCACCATCAAATGTTAGCACAGGTGCAAGTTAACACCTTGGTACACTTTCCTGCACTCATAATTGCTCAAACAAGTATTACAGGTTACAGGTATCCATGCTATGCTCCTCAATCTGAGCTGGTTGAGCTTCACCTTACTGCATAGCAAAGAATACTTATTCTAAATCCAGGTCCTTCTCAGAACTCTCACAGTGTTAATTTTGCCATCCATCTACTAGTGGAATAACCTATTGTATGGCCTAATTTAATCACAACAGAAATAATTTCGACTCCTTTACAGTGTCCAGGATTAGAACATTCAATATATGTACAGGGTCCAATTACATAGCATGACAATCCATCTGCATTTCTATGTTGTGGACCCAGATGATGCTTTATGATTAAATCATACTCTTGCAATGCTGTTATCCAGCATGCAATCACCTCTTCTGGATTTTTAAAGTTCATCAACCATTTCAGTGAAGCATGATCTGCTTTAGTAGTGAACTATTTACTATACTAGAGGTATTGATAGTGTTTCTTGAAGACTACAACTGAAAGCAGAGCCAGTGAGACTGGGGGCACAGCATTTTTCTTATTGCAGCACCTTTAGCTTTTCTAAGGTAGTGGGTGCATTACACAGGCTGAATGGCATGATGCAAAACTCATACAAGCCATCTCTCATGCCAAAAGCATTCTTAGAACTGCTCTTGTCATCAAGTCTGATTCCCCATATCTGGATGTCATATCTAAAGTTCTGAACCAACAGAAACCTTCCAGTATGTTTAGACATTCATGTATTAACAGCAGTCGAAAAGCATCAGTGTGAGTTACCATTTTCACCCCTCTGTATTCTCATACTTTTTTTTTTGTTGATAGTTACTACTGGAGATGATCAAGCACTCTATGAGGACTCTATAAACCTGTCATTTAACATCCACTTTATCTTAACACTGTCTACATCCCTAGTACTCCATGTAAGGTTGTTTAATCATACATGCATTTCTTGTATCTATATGGTGTTGGATCATTGTTGTCCAACACTCACTTAACCAACTGCCCCATATAAACTGCACTGGGACTTCATTCCTCCTCGGAGAGGTAACTGCCGAGCTAATACTGCATGCTTTTTAGAGAATAAACAGCTCATTTCATGTGTGGGTTCTATAACTGCATTACATGGTACTGACACACTACACTTCATCAACAGAAAATCATAGAACACCAGTGTGTACATGTAGGTTTTGTAACTTCCTCTCCCACATGCACTCATGCAGTCCATTGGTTCTGGACTTGATCCATCTCACATAGGATAGCAGTATTACACACACACCATCAGCATACTAGTTCCACAATCAAAACTCCATATTCCAAAACATACTTACCACCACTACAGCTATTACTTTACTGCTAGGGTTTCTTTTCTTTTGCCCATCTAAGCATTGGTATGATTTTTTTCTCACTTGCTCCAGTATTTTATTCCCAATTTAATTGCCTTTGGCGATATCTGTCTCGTGACACTCTCCACCTACGTCAATGCACCCTCTATCTTGGTACTGTATATAAGCACCTCCTTCAGAAAATATTGTCACTTTTTCTCGACAAAGCGATCACTAATGGGTTTCTCTGTCTTACGACCACTGGATATACTCAGAGTGTTAAATATTTGTTATTTGTGTTGTTCAGTGTTGTTTACCCTCTTGTTGTGATTCCGGTGGTTTGGAATGCCTCACTCTTTAGCTACAATTTGGGATCCACTCACAAATATATATATATATATATTGCAGTTCAAATACCTTAGCCACAAGTGTGGGATTTAGGAACTATGGCCCTATAATTTCAACCCAGAGCAGTGGGACCTCAGCTACCTGGTTGGGGCCTAGCCAGTGGTGATGACAGATCTCGTCAAATTCCACCTGCAGTGCATGATTTAGGTTCCAGGTGAAGAGCATACCTGTTTTGGATGTTGTGCACTTCCCCCACTAGAATGCTAAAATTCTATTGGCATGATATATACAGACACATTCTGTATGGATAATGCTCTCACCGGCCCCTCCACCTTATCAATATGGGATTTTAGCTTTAATGTGAGAAGAGGTATGTTTGTAAGTTTACATTTTCTTAAATCAAAAAGGTATTTCTAATAATAGTTACCTCCTCTCCCACCCTAAGAGCCGGTGTTAGCGACTGCGGATTGGGTCAGTCAAAAAAAGTGATAATATTATCTGAATGAGGTGTTTATATACAGTACCAGGATATAGGGTGTATTCTCACACTCTCCCACCCTTATTCCTCACTAAGAGCTACTCTGGATGGGTACAGTCTCAAAAAAAGTGATAATATTATCTGAATGAGGTGCTATCAGGCAGTGGTGTAGCAAGGGGAGCAGTCACCCCCAGGCATAGGTGTGAAAAGGTGCAAAATTTCCTCTGGCCTATAATGCCTATTAATTAATAATTATGCCTCCCCTAGGATATAGCGCAACTGCTCTACACTAAGTAAATATGACACAGTGTTACATTATTTGTGTGTATTACGCTTGCAGTTTTATCTTTTAAAAGTTGCCCACTGAAATACAGTGAGACTGAATTGACGTACAGAAGTAAATTACACTATTCCA